AATAGTCCCAGGAGCCAGATGGAGGTGAAAACCTTGGTCAGCTTGCACAGTGCCAAGAACTGGCCTGGAGGGTGCCCCTCCCACCGTGCCCTGAATTAAATTTACTCACTCTCAGAGGGCACTGGACAATGCCAGGCCGTTCCCTCTTCCACACAGGGAGCTACCCCACCAAGCTGACTATCTGGGACAGCCACACCCGCCCTTGCCCTGTAGGCAGGCAGGTGTGAAGAGAGAGCCTCTCAGGTGTATGCCTTTACCAGACTTGATTTAGCCCTGTCCCCTCCCAGTCCCAGCCCCTGGGGAGGTGGGTGAGGGGTGCTGGAGGTACCCCCTGAGGGCGCAGAGTGGTTGCTCTTTCCTCGTGGTGGAAGTATGAGGAGGGAGGGTACGAGAGCCCCCTGCCCATTCTCCTCATTCCCATTTCCTTTGGCGAAAGGAAGACCCCAAGGGCCGAGGTCCAGCTCCCTAGGTCTGGCCCCTCTCCGGCACCTGCAGAGTGGTCTTTCACTCCTCGGGCCCACCCCCTGTTTCCATCAGGGCTCTCCTTGCATTTGTTCTCTCGCTCCTCAGGACAGTCATTCATCTCTGGTGACTCAGTTCCTCTTTGGAGTATGCCATCTTATTTAAACCTCTCAGTCACATTTCACAGACAAAGAGACAGCACAGGAACATGAGCTTATTGAGAGCACGGAATGGTTTGCTAACAACTAGAAAAAATTTGGAGCTACAGTGGAAATTGTCACAGATAAGTCACAAGAAGGATCCCAATTTGTGAAAGGAGTTGGTGGAATTGGAGGTATTTTGCGGTGCTGAGTAAATTTCCAGGGAATGGAATACCAAGGAGGAGATGACAAATTTTTTTCACCTCGATAACTATTAGGTAGACATGGGTCCAGCAAAATGTGCCTCACCCTCCAGCATCCAATCCAAGGAGCATACCCGTGGCAGAATCCAAACAGATCCCAACCTTATAATTGGAACATTTCCAGAACTTAATCCATGAACAGTGGATGTTGAAAAGCAAACCAAACCAACACCAGAAAACCAACCAACTTTACACATTGGTTTGTCATAGTGTCAAACAGTGTCAAACTTAGCAGCACAGCAGCCTAAGTTCCTAAATGCCATTTGGGGCTAATTTTGAAAAAAGAATCCCAGTTTTTACTTTTACTCGGTGGTGAAATTGGGTAGACTTGTATTTTATGGAAAAGAAAAAGATTTTTTTAACCTTCATATGTAGAAACAAAAATACTTTAACTGTTGTAAACCTCCAGAAGATAATAGAAGTGAGATCATAAAAAACAAAAGCCAGAAAACCACTCTGTCACACTAAGAGTAGATATTATTCCCATTTGTGATTCCGTTTTCATATTTGTTATGAGATGTAATAATTCTGCATTTCTTCTGCATAGTTCCACTCACTCTACCCCCCCATTCTTAGTGTCTAATGATTGACACACATTGGTATGTCTTTCCTGTTGTCTTTTGTACGTAACTGGACATGCATGCACTCATTCAGTTAATATTTGTTGGGACCCTGCTGTGTGCTAGGCTGTGGGGGATATGGCAGGTGGGGCAGCATGGTCTGGCAGGAGACAAACTTTTTTTTTTTTTTTTTTTTTAGTTTTTAGACAGAGCCTCAAGCTGTCCCCCTGGTAGAGTGCCGTTGCATCACAGCTCACAGCAACCTCCAACTCCTGGGCTCAAGCAAGGTCCCAAGTAGCTGGGACCACAAGCACCCACCACAACACTCGGCTGTTTTTTGGTTGCAGCCGGCACTGTTGTTTGGTGGGCCTGGGCTGGATTCAAACCTGCCACCTTAGATGTATGTGGCTAGCGCCTTAGCCACTTGAGCCACAGGCGCCGAGCCGAGACAGACTATTAAATAAAGAATTGGCCTGGTGGGCAGCACCTGTGGCTTAGTGAGTAGGGCACCAGCCCCATAAACCGAGGGTGGTGGGTTCAAACCCAGCCCTGGCCAAACTGCAACAACAACAACAAAAAATAGTCGGGCATTGTGGCGGCTGCCTGTAGTCCCAGCTACTTGGGAGGCTAAGGCAAGAGAATCGCCTAAGCCCAGGAGTTGGAGGTTGCTGTGAGCTGTGATGCCACAGCACTCTACTGAGGGCGATAAAGTAAGACTCTATCTCTACAGAAAAAAAAAAAAGAATTGGGTTGGGTGTGGGTCCAGCCTGTAAGCCTGTAATTCTGGGCACTTTGGGAGGCCAAGGCCAAACAAAGCTGGAGGGAGATGAGATGGGGGAGGGAGGTAGGAGGATCGCTTGAGCCTGGGAATTCAAGACCAGCCTGGGGTAGCATAGTGAGAACCTATCTCTAAGAAAGAAAAAGAAATAACCTCCCCCCCAAAAGCCAAAAAACAAACCCTGTCAAAATTGCAGATGTACAAATGATTACAAAAGAAGCTAGGAGCTGGTAACAGAGGTGGCAGGTGCTGCCCTAAGGGGTGTTAGTCACCCCTAACACCCTCCTCTTAAAACTCAAACTCTGGGCCGGTTGTCTGTAGCACAGTGGTTATGGTGCTGGCCATACGCACTGTGGCCGGTGGGTTTGAACCTGGACTGGGCCAACTAAACAATGGACAGCTCAAGTGATTAAGGTGCCAGCCACATACACCTAAGGTGGCAGGTTTGAATCCAGCCCGGGCCCGCCAAACAACAATGATGACTGCAACCAAAAAAAATAGCCAGGCGTGTGGCAGGCGCCTG